AATAATTTGCCTTATGTAGTCTACTCTTGTTCTCTCTTCAACCCCCTACCAAGGAGATTACAGACATTTATAAGAAGATTCTTTACATGCAGGTTTGCTTGTAACCCCCTTTGTTCCTTGCTACAATCTGCCTTGAATTACAAAACTCATCTCCTTGAGCAGCCTGAAAGCCCCCTGAGGGCAGAGACCCTTGCCTACTGTCTTTGTTATGCATTTTTGTGCCCAGCCCTGTGAATAGTAAAGGGGAATCCCTGGGTGTCGAAAACTGTTAAGCGCTTGACTGCTAACAGAAAGGTTGGCGGTTTGAGCCACCCAGAGGCACCTTGAAAGAAAGGCCTGGCAGTCTGCTTCCAAAATCTACTCTGACACACATGGGTTGGAATTGACTCCATGGCAACTGTTTGTTTGTTTGTTTTTTAAATAGTAAAGGTTTTAGGAGTGAGTGGAACAGGCATGTGCAATTCCATTTTGTAGAGGGTGGCCTTGATTATTGCTGAGGACAAACGCCCCTTAAACACACGGAGGTGCTCATACTGCCTGAAGAGAGTAAAGTGGGGCTGCGGGTTAGAGTTTAGCGTGCATTTATACTCGTTTCAATTAAATCAGTGAAGCGGGGAATTCAGAATTTAAATTTGGAGAAGTTCTTAACATTTTCTGCATACACTTTTTCTGCAAATATCAGGATTTCCATGGTATAGCTGCTAAAGGCCCCATTTCAGCTTCTGGTTCAGCTTTGGCAATTTCACCTCCATTGACTAAAGAATAAATAGGATTATCCAGGAATTCCAGCCTTTCTCAACTGAATCCCAGACTGTAGTGGGTATTGGTGGTATAACTGACAGGTACTAAATCACCTTTCATCGACCATGTCAACACGTATCAAAGATGAAGCATAAGCAAAGTCATTATCATGTGTTTGGGGGAAAATTGTAATAGGATCACTTAAAATGAACTTGTTAAAATTAATAATGTGAGGCACCTTTGGTAATATCAGTTTTAAAAGAAATTAATTACATTGGTACCTACTTGCAAATGCAGCAGTATTCCTAACAACTGAGTGGCAATTTATTTATTTTAGGTTATTTTTTTTTAAGTTCTGCTCTTCATAGAGTCTAAGATGCACATTTATATTTTCTGAAATTGGGATGCATCTTGTAGTCAGTGTGTTAAGAAAGCAATGATGTACATTTTAATTGAAAGTGGTTTTTTTTTTTTTTTTACCTAAAATAAGTATATCTTGCAACTTATGTAGTTAGATTTGATAAAATTCAGTATACAGGTAGTCCCTGGCTTACGAATGAAATTCGTTCCTGTATCTTTAAGTCTTTAAGTCGAATTTGTAGGTAAGGCGAAACAGGTACATCTGCTTCCTATTTAGCCTTACTTTAGTGCCGGAAGGAGCCCTGGTGGCACAGTGGTTAAGCCCTATGGCTGCTAACCAAAAGGTCGGCAGTTCGAATCCACCAGCTGCTCCTTGGAAACCACATGGGGCAGTTCTGCTCTGTCCTATAGGGTCACTATGAGGCAGAATCGACTTGACGGCAACGGATTTGGTTTGTTTGTTTGGTTTTTTCTGGGGGGGGAGGTTTAGTGCAAGAAAAAGCTTGAAGACTTTTCAGTGACTTAAAAGCTGCACGTGCAGCAAGTGAAGGTGATTGTGATGAAGAATTTGTTGCGAGTAGGGGTTGGTTTAGTCATTTCAAAGTGAGAGCAAATTTACATGACATTAAAGGGCAAGTACGAGTTTGAGTTGTCCTTAAGTCTGACATTTCCTGTAAGTCTGACGTTCGTAACCTGGAGACTGCCTTTACCATTAAAAAGCATGATGCCATTTTGCTGCTTGCAGTTACCTGACTTTCTTACGTAGAATCTGGTCTTTTAGCATCATTTAGGGATTTCAAGTGGTTTTAGAAATTCATTTACTTTTTATTACTTTCTGTATATAGCTAGATATAGATGCCTGTAGTAAGCGAGGATGGCGAGACTACGTCTCACATACTTTGCGCATGTTATCAGGAGGGATCAGTCCCTGGAGAAGGACACCATGCTTGGTAAAGTAGAGGGTTATCAAAAAGGAGGAAGACCCTCAATGAAATGGATTGACACAGTGGCTGCAACAATGGGCTCAAGCATAGCAATGATTGTGAGGATGGCGTAGGACTGGGCCGTGTTTTGTCCTTTTGTACATGGAGTTGCTATGAGTCGGAACCGACTTGACGGCACCTGACAACAACAACAGCAGTAAGCAAGACACTTTGCTAAATTCTTTGGAGAGTACAAGGTGACTTGGGATTTGTCTTTTTCCAAAAATCTTTTAAGAGTGTATGTTGTAATTTTCCTAATATAGTTAACTGATCAAAGTCATCATTTAGAAGGACACATAAGTATCTTAAAAAAAAAAACTGTTGCTATTACATAAAAAGGGAATGTTAGCTAAACCTGCTGTTTTCATCTTAGCAAAAGGGCAAGAATTGATTAATTCTTTGTGGTTAATTGTGAGATTTTTTTCTTTTCAGTCCCTTGACCTAAAAAAAACTAAAACCACACCCATTGCTGTCAAGTTGATTCCGACTCATGGTTACCCCATGTGTTACAGAATAGAACTGAGCTCCATAGGGTTTTCTCGGCTGTATCGTTATGGAAACAGATTGCCAGGCCTTTCTTTCATGGTGCTGCTGGGTGGGTTCGAACTGCCAACCTTTCAGTTAGTAACTGAGTGCAAACCACTTGCACCACCCAGGGAACCTCAGTCTAGACAGCCTTCAGGTTCCCTTTATCGTCACTAAACTTTAGGCAGGCTTCTTTCTGACTCTAGGCCCTTTACATCCCTCTGTCCCTGGCCCTTACAGAATCTGGATGGAACATGTTCCATCTGCCTTAACAGTAAGGTCAGGAGATAACGCCATGTGATCAACACACACCATTGCTTAACCTCCCCCTAATGTCCTCCAATACTTTTCTATTAGCTCATCAGTCATTTAAAACCTTCCCACCCTCTGCTTCAGTGAAGTTGAGTTCAGATGTAGTTCTGGCCTCTCTCCCCTATTTCAGTAGCCTTGAATAAAGTCATCCTTGCCTGTTTAACGTTGTCTGGTGCAATTTTCTTTGACAGTTCTAGTGTTGTGACTTGCATAGGATTGGATTTATAACTGGACCCCCAGACCTCTCACCCAGGACCCCAGGTGCACACCACTGAAGTCTTTGTCTTCACTCCTTATTAATTGACTCTTGACCCTCTGCTCCAGACTTCCCTCCGTGGAAGCACGGTAAATAAAGACTTGACTTTGATTCTTTTGATTTTTAGAGTACTCTTTTTGTATACTGAGATCACATTTGTTTTTTATTTGATCCTTTGTTTCAAAATGGGAAACTCTCACTCGTTGGGTCCTCCCTCCTTCCAAAACACCCACTGACTACATGCTCTGCCACTGTGGTGCTAGCTCTGTCCTCTTTCTTTCTCAATGACATGATCTCACTAATGACTCCCCAAAACTGTAATGGCTACTTTGGGGCTCCTGGGATTTGCCTACACTTGGAGAAAAAGGGCTCCAAGATTTTTGACTCTCAGTAGTCTGCTTACATTTCTTGACATGAGGAAGCCAAGAGAAGAGAAACTAAATCTAACTTAAATCAGACCATTACAGTTTTATAAGAATGCATTCAGAAGTCCTTTGACCCTCCCTCTCCACCATCCGTACTTCCTTCTTTATCCCCTTCTGACCTCTCTCCTTCCAGAGTCCTTCCATATCCTGGACCTATCCCAGATTGGCCTTCTCCCCGCCAAGCCCTTATACTCTGTCCTCCCTGAACTCCTGCTTCACTTCCTCCATTTCCTCTTACAACCCAGTTCCCTGGGCGACCTCCCCCTCATCCAGTGATCTCCCCCCACTTCTTCCATCAAAGAGATCATTTTTAAAACTTGGGCTTGATCAGAACTAGATGCTATTGTCAAGGACTTCCCCAGTCCAAAGAAGGAACGAAAAAATTTCTCCAATTAATTGAGAATAGTATTAGGGACTTACTCTCCCAGATTCCCTGATTTGTATCAACTTACTCATTTGTTGGTAGGCCTGGGAGGTACAACTCTTTGGTTTGAAAAAGCCACATAGGCTACTATTGAAGATGACCTTAAAAGGTCACAGACTACTCCCAATTCTTACGAAAAAGCCTTAGGTGAAAAATTACTAGGAGCTAGTAATAAAAATTCATTTATTTTTAAGAATAATGTTGCTTTATATTACTCTGTATGTATAGATGCCTGTAGTAAGCAGGGCACTTTTCTAGATAGCTTGGAGAATACAAAGTGACTTGGGATTTGTCCTTTTCCAAAAATCTTTTGAAAATGTATGTTGTAATTTTCCTAATATACCTAACTGATCCAAGTCATCATTTAGAAGCACATGTAAGTATTGTTCTAAAGGACTGTTGCTATTGCATAAAAAGGGAATGCAAGGTCACCCTGTTTTCTGCTTAGCAAAAGAATGAGAATATTGATTAATTTTTTTTTTTGGCTAATTTTGAGGTAGTTTTCTTATATGTGAGTTTTGTTTTGTTTTGTTTTTGAGTTCCTTAATGTTCCCTCCAGCTTGACTAAACTTTAGGCAGGCTTCTGTCTGACTCTAAGCTGCTTATCTCCCCCTCTCCTTGATCCTTACAGAATCCAGAGGAACACGTTCCATCTGACCTTAACAGTAAACTCAGGAGATAAGCTCATGTGATGAACTCACCATTGCTTAACCTAACCCTAACGTCTTCCAGTACTTTTCCATTAGTTCACCCTAGTCCTTAAAAACTCTCTTGCCCTCTGCTTTAGCAGAGTTGAGTTCAAACTTACTTTTGTTTTCCTTCCCTTATTGTGGTAGCCTTGAATAAAGTCATCCTTGCCTGTTTAACATTGTTTGGTGCAGTTTTCTTTGACAGCCTTTACCATGCCTTGTTGTCTGTTCTTCAGTTTTTGAATGACTGTCTTTAGTGTCTTTAGCCCGTAGAAATTTAAACAAATGTCATCCGAAGACCTAGAGGCTCAGGAAGATGAATTGCTGGCATTGGCAAGCATTTATGATGGAGATGAATTTAAAAGAGCAGAGTGTATCCGAGGTGGAGAAATCAGAATCTACTTGGATTTGCCACAAAATTTCAAGATATTTGTGAGCAGTAAGTCAATTATGTACTCTTATTTATTTATTATAAAAGCTTTATCAAGATATAATTATCATACCATACAATTCACCTATTTAAAATGTGCAAGTGAATGCTTTTTAGTAAAATCACAGACTTGTGTAACCAGTGCCACAAACTTTCAAAAGTTTAAACATAGAGTTACCACATGGCCCAGTAATTCCACTCTTAAGAATATACCCAAGAGAAACGAAAACTTACGTTCAGACAAAAAACTCATGCACAAATGATCATATCAGCACTATTCATAATAGCTAAAATGTGGAAACAAATGTCTATCAGTTGATGAATGGATAAAATAAAACGTGGTCTGTCAATACAGTGAACTATTATTCAGCTATAAAAAGGAATGAAGTAATGATACATGCTACAACAGTGATGAACCTTGACAGAACTATGCTAAGTGAAAGACGCCAGACACAAGGGGCTACATATTGTATGATTCCACTTATATGAAATGTCTAGAGTAGGGTTGCCAAGTGCTGGAAAGAAGGGGTAGTTGGGTGTAAGTGCTAATGCAGTTAGGTTTTTTTGCAGGGGGGCTTGACAAAATATTCTAAAATCAGATAGTGGTGCACAATTCTGCGAATATACTAAAACTCACAGAAGTGTACACTTTAAAAGGATTAATTTCATAGTATGTGAGGTATATCTCAATTACAAAAAAGAAAATGTTATGTCTGTTATGACTTTTATTCCGCTTAGTTTATTTTGAAGTGCTTCCAAGAAGACTTCTTTTTTCCTAAGGGATTGGCAGTGGGATTAAAATTTGAGGGTGGATTGTGCTTTGGTGGAGGATTTTTCCCATCTATTGGGAGAGTTAAGCCTTTCCTGAGCACTGCTTAGCACTCAATTGTCGACCAACCAATCCTTTGAATCTTTGTTTTTGGTCCAGGCAATCCAGCAGATGATCTCCACAATAATGGCAACGAATATGTGATTTGCTTTCTGCCTCCCCTTGTGCTGAACTTTGAACTGCCGCTGGATTATCCATCCAACTCCCCACCTACATTCACCCTTAGTGGCAAGTGGCTGTCACTGACCCAGGTTAGAATCTAACTTCAATAATTATTTTTCAAACCCATTTTTAGGTACTTAAAAGAAATCATCCTTTGTTGAAGACAGACCTGATGATCTTAAATTCAGTGCATGAAAAAAATAGAATTTGTGGTAGGTGGAATTTCTGGGAATGTCCCCCAAGATTTCACATCCCCTAATCTCCAAAATTCGATACCCCGGTAGTTCCCAAAACTTGTGACTGTGTTATGTTATGGAGCATAATTGATTTTAAAAAGCAGAGATCATCTGGGTGGGTCTAATTAATCATCAGTACCAGTACCAGTTGCTGTCACGTTGATTCCAACTCATGGAGACTCCATGTGTGTCAGAGTTTAACTGTGCTCCATAGAATTTTCAGTGGCTGATTTTTTGGAAGTAGATTGCCAGGCCTTTCTTCTGAGGTGCCTCTGGGTGGATTTGAACCACCAACCTTTTGGTTAGCAGCTGGAAACTAAACTGTTTGCGCCACCCAGGGACTTACCTAGTTAATTACATGGGCCCTTAAAAGCAGAAGACTTCCTTCGGCTGGTGGCAGAAGAGGAAGAAAGTATAGGAAGGCAGGAAGAAAAGGCAATAGAGGAAGTTAGAGAGGTTCAAAGCATGAGAAGGATGTGACATGCCGATGCTGCTTTGATGATGGAAAGGGCCCCATAAGAAGGAATGTGGGTGGCTTCTAGGAGATGAAGGTGGTTCCTGGCTGCCAGCCAGCAAGGAAACAGCAATCTTAGACCTATAACCATGGTAACTGGATTCTGCCAACAAGCTGAATGAGCTTGGAACTGGGATTCTTCTCCAGAGCCTCCAGATGACAGGCCAGCACGGCTGACACCTTGAATGTGAGCCATTGAGCAGAGAACCCCCTTGAATCCGCATTACCTTTTGATTGTTTAACCTGAAAAATGTGAACTTTGCCTATGAAAGTCAAACTCTTTTGGGGGCTTGTTATGGGTCTAAACGTAACAGCAGTATTTTCAGTTTTATTTTGAATCATTATTCCAGGGTACCTAGACGGCTAGAATAGCAAACAATCTGAAACACTCCATTGTAAAACAATTTCTCTTGTTTCTGTTTAAGATGTATACTTATATTAAAATAAAACAAGTAAATGAAGAAAAATACCCCATTGGCAGTATTCTTATTTGAATTATTCTAAATCTGCACTTGCAGACTCTTTCCATCATTTCTCTGTTTTTTTTTTTTTTTATCGTACTTCAGGTGAAAGCTTAAAGAACAAATAGTTTCTCATGAAACAGTAGTACACATATTGTTTTATGACATTGGTTAACAACCCCACAACATGTCAACCCTC